ATAAAAACAAAAATTATTCCTTAAATGATGAAGTAAATCTGTATACTGAGAAAACACACAATAGTAAAACAAAAATTGATGCATACCTATCAAAACCCACGTGTTAATGTATATGTGTATATGCATATATGTACAATAGCCTGTAAAATATATATTACATAACATTACATGTAATGTTATGTAATACATGTAATGTACTTTCTACATTTTTTCTTCTATAAGGCAAAAAAAAAAAAAATCAAGCTTATCTAACAGTTCTCCTCAGCAAGATGGATTGCCAGACATTAATAAAGGGTTAAAAAAAAAGTTTAAAAAAAAAAAAAAAAGATGTATGCTGATAGGGATGGTTCAGCAGAGGGAGAGAAAGACAGCAAGGGAGCAAAAGCAAGAGAGAGAAAAGAGATGCCAGAGTGATTTCCTTGAGGAGGTAAGAAGGGTTAGGAATCTATGGACAAACGTGGAGGGGATGGCTTTGGAGAGGAGCAATGACATTTCAGTCCAGTGGCAGGTGGGAAGGCAGAGCACCTGGGTGTAAGTACTGTTAGGTGTATAGGCATAGTGATGAGAGTCGGTGGAAGCTCCATTCTCAGTGCTTCTATTTTCTCTGTGAAATAGCAACCGATATCATCAGCAGAGAGAGCCAAGTGGATTGAGGAGAAGGTGTCAAATAATCATCTGGTGAGTAGGCAAGTGAGCAGAATGTGGTGGGATTGTTGGTTGCCTTCATTTTCACTTGAGACTGAGGACAAGACTGGTAAGACCAGTCAGTTTGGTTTTTGTTGTTGACGTTTTCTGTTGTTGTCTCTATCCACATACAGCTGCATGGGTGTCATTGTAGTATAGGCATAGGATTCGATTTAACCTGGTGTGGTGTGCTGCTATCAGCCTATTGTGTCTTAGCTCCAGGTCCATCTTCATTGCTTGCTGGTGTTGTCAGAACGTTTCTCCTCAGCCAGACGATTATGATGTTAGGATGTAATGCTGTATCAGTAGAGAGCACTAGAGGACAAAAGGGGCCATTTCCTGGTCCCAGTGTGTTTTGGGAGCAGGTTTTTGTAGTGCACAGTGGCCACCAGTGTGCAGCACCTCTCCTTAGGCATCTTTCCTAAGCACCCCAGGAAAGTGAATTGCCCATGAGTCTTGCCAGCGGGCACGTCAGTGAGTCGTGGCTGGCCCTCTGCAACAAGATCTTGAGCTCAGCTCTGCTGGGAGGGGGTGCTCTCCCATGTTCATGCCATCCTTGGGTTTTCTACCCCAGCCCCGGGAACATACATGCAATTCCTCTATTCTTTAGACTTTTCTTTGCCCCTTAATAGTCAATTCCCTGTTAAAGGTAGGAATTTTTATATTAAACTTTCCTGTTCAAATTACTTTCCCTGCTCAAACCCTGTGCGGTTTCTTTCTCTTAATTGGACCCTAACTGATATAGATGAGGTTTTGTCACGAGAAAGAGGGAAGAATTGTTGAAATGATGTCCATAACTTGTTTCTTTTCCCTCCTACATTTTTAAAAAAATTTATTTATTTATTTTTGGCTGTGTTGGGTCTTCGTTTCTGTGCGAGAGCTTTCTGTAGTTGCGGCGAGCGGGGGCCACTCTTCATCGCGGTGCGCGGGCCTCTCACTGTCGCGGCCTCTTTTGTGGCGGAGCACAGGATCCAGACGAGCAGGCTCAGTAGTTGTGGCTCACGGGCCCAGTTGCTCCGCGGCGTGTGGGATCTTCCCAGACCCGGGCTCGAACCCGTGTCACCTGCATTAGGCAGGCAGATTCTCAACCACTGCGCCACCAGGGCAGCCCCGGGGAAGCCCCCTCCTACATTTTTATTGCTCTACTTTACTGTCTCCTCCAGTAGCACGTAAACTTGTTTAAGTTTCTCCTGTATATATTTCTATTACTGCTGTGTTTACTTTTACAATCAAATTTCCCAAAAGAGGGCTCAACTAGGCAGGATGGCGCGTCAGAGTCATCTGTGACGGCAAGACAGGCCACCAAGCCCCCAGAAGCGCTGCGAGTGGCAAAAAGTCTGGCGCTCCGCCGCGCGAGGGGCGGGGGCGTGGCTTCCAGCGCGCGCGAGAAGGGGGCCGGCACCGCTTGCGTGCACAGTCGGCGGCTGCGCGCGCAGCAGGCTCGGGGCGTGGATGGCGGCTGTGGCGACTGGAAACGGGGCTTTCCAGGAGGAGGAGGGCACCGGTGGGGACGCAGCGGCTCCGCAGCCCCATGCCCCGACGAGTGCGCCCGGGGCTCGTCTCTCGAGGCTGCCTCTGGCGCGAGTGAAGGCCTTGGTGAAGGCGGACCCCGACGTGACGCTCGCAGGACAGGAAGCCATCTTCATTCTGGCACGAGCCGCGGTGCGGCCGGGGCACAATGGGGTGGCGGGGGTGCCTGGCGAGGGGCGGGGCTCGGAGCCTTTCCGAAGGGCGGGGCTTAGCGAGCCTTTGGTCCAGGTTTGGGGAACGCGGGGAGCCAGAAGAGGGTCTGGGGCGGGGTGTGCTGGGCACCGGGAGGTGAGAGAGGTTCTGGGGCCGGATTCTGAGGTGTGAGCATAGGAAGGGAGGACGGAAAAAGCGTCGCGTAAAGTGGTTGTACTGGTGTGCTAACATATCTACCTCTTCTTGAGGGCCTGAACACGGCTTTAATTTGCATCTCCAGTCTAACACTGAACTTGTAGGAACCTCAAGTAAATGAGTGTGGTGGATCTACAAGTGAGGGAGGGACAGATGTGTCATGGGCGACTGCAGGAGGGGGAAGGGGACTAGACTTTTATGAAGTCCAGGAGAACCTTCAGCTTCCCTGAGAACCTATCTTTCACCCCTGTCCGTTCCCCCACCGCCAACAGAAGCACACACAAGAATTGTACTAGAATTCATCCATACAATTCTGCTTGGTTGTTTTGTTTTTTCAATTTTGGTTTGTTTATTATAACTTTTATTGTTTTTTAAATTTTTTTCTGCTTTTCTTAACAGGAACTGTTTGTGGAAACCATTGCAAAAGATGCCTACTGTTGTGCTCAACAGGGGAAGAGGAAAACCCTTCAGAGGAGAGATTTGGGTAGAGTGTCACTTTGGTATCTTGGATCTGGGGGCAGACGAGAGGGCTGGTTGAGGTTTTCCCTTACACTGTTTAAGACGGCATCACTGTAAGATGAGCGGTGCCACAGGTCTCTTCCTACGATGTTTTCTCTTGGGCTGCCACAGTGCCAGAAAACCCTACCTTTTGAAAATTTGCTTTGGGTGGCTGGAGAGGTGCTGGGACAGAGAACCGAAGGAGTCTAGATGTTGCCAAAGCTAACTAGACCCCTTTATACCTTCTGCCATATGGTACCAGGCTTGACTGCTTTTTATTCACCTAGAAAGTAGAGGTTTGATTTCTGACTCTACTTTTTAGCTGGTAACCCTAGAACATCTGTAAGCTTTCATATACCATAACCTCGCTTTCCCTTCTGTATAGGCAACACTTCTCTGATGACTTTCAGAGCAAGGATGTTCCCCTCAGTGAGCAGTATTTAACCAGGCTTTTCTTATTTTCTTACTCTCGGAGAGACAGCTTATACGTAAGATTTGGTGGTGGAGTAGATATGGATCTCAAGATAGCAAGGGACAAATTTTATAAATGCCCTAATTTGCATAAAGCCTCATGCCCGTCACTGTGGGTTGTGCTTTTGTAAGAGGTTGATGCCCAAATGACCGGAGTTAGTCAGGTGTCCCTTTACCTTGTGTTTCAGATAATGCAATAGAAGCTGTGGATGAATTTGCTTTCCTGGAAGGTGAGTTCTCTGTCACGGGGTAATCATTTCCACCTGTCTTTCCCATGCAGCGATCTGAGTTCAAAACCTTATAAAACCGATGGCCTGGTTCTTCTTTGTTCATGTAGGAATAATTTTCTCCCCATTTCCTATTAAGATAGGAAAAACAAATTCTAATTCAAATTCCCTTGGGTAGTTAGAACTTCTTCCTGAAAACTGCTTAACCATAAAAAAATGGAAGGGACTATAAAGACCCCAGTGTAGTTAGGTGGATTCAGAAGTTTGATTCTTACTTTGATCTCCATTCTTGGATATAAATCTTACCCCTCATCATAATGCTAGAGATCAGAAATGATTGCCAACATTTAAAGGGTTGCTTCTTGTTCTTTTTTCTTCTTCAGCAGTCTGTGTAAAGTGATTATTTTGCTGCAGTGAGATTCTATTCTGGCCTGTATCTATTTGTTCTTAGGAATTTTAGATTAACTCTTGTATACTAACTAAATCTTGTCATTGAAATAGAAAATATTTGAGATACCTCATTTTAACTAACTTCTCTTAGAGCCCTCTCTCCTACTTAATTCCTAAATCTGATCAGCTTACTATTCCCTACACATATTCTGATTGAAGAGCTTTGCGAAAGCCGTGCACCTTCAGTTCATTCTCACCTTTATCACACCAGGATGTTCTCAACTATCTCCCTGAAGCCTCATTACTTTCAGAAATCTTTTCTTGAATTATTTGTTTCACTATTTTTACTCCTTTGTTCTGCATCTGTAATCAACCTAGGCCCCTGGCCCTCTTGATATATTCTTTTAAATGTCTTTTAAGATATATTCCCATGGCTAGCTTTGAGCCTAGATTATTGAGTATTCTCTTAATTTGTAGATCTTTTTTAAGTCTCTTTTCTGATTACTCATTTCTCTTAAAAATAACTTGTTAGCTGCCTACCTAAGGCAGACAATTTCTTGTGACTGACATCCTATCAGTTCCTCAATCAAAAATCTTTGGAGCCTAACTCTACCTGTTTTTTTTTTTTTTTTTTTTTTTTTGCGTACACGGGCCTCTCACTGTTGTGGCCTCTTCCATTGCGGAGCACAGGCTCCGGACGCGCAGGTTCAGCGGCCATGGCTCACGGGCCTAGCCGCTCCGTGGCATGTGGGATCTTCCCGGACCGGGGCACGAACCCGTGTCCCCTGCATCGGCAGGCGGACTCTCAATCACTGCGCCACCAGGGAAGCCCCTACCTGTTTATTTTTATTTTTAAATATGGAATACTTCATGAATTTGTGTGTCATCCTTGCACAGGGACCATGCTAACCTTCCCTGTAACGTTACAATTTTAGTAAGTGTACTGCTGAAGTGAGCACTCCTACCTGTTTATTTTTAATTACCATCTTTTCAAAGAGATGAGTGATGTGATCAAATTTCTATTTAAGGACATAAAACTGCCAACCTCTGGTGCCAGGATGATAAATTGGAGGGTGCTAGGAATATAAGTGGAGAGAACTTAACAAAGTTTTCCACTTTAGCCTATACCATGCATAGTGCTTGGCTTGGATTTTTAATAAATGGCCATTTAATGAGTGGTGGATGTGTTCATTTTCATCTTTGGATTCAATAATCTGAGTAGTTGAATCTCTCTGCTCTATTCTACATTAGTAGATCTGAATTTTGGTCGTTTTAGCCCCCTTGGATTTAGTCAGTATTATATTATTTTGTACCTGGTAAAATAAATGTTCTTATGTCCTTAGATGTGTATGTTCTAAGTGAAATTTTTTTTCTTTTTAATTGAGTCAGTATATATTCCTGTTTAAAAGTGAAATAGTTACCTAACGACTTATAATGAAATGGCCCTCATCCTTTTATTATTTCTGTTTTTAGCTTTTCAGATGGCTTCTTATATTTCTGAATAATACGCTTTGTTGTTGATTTATCAACTGTAGATCTTATGTTTTGACTTCCTGCTATGATAAATGAAGGTTTGGCTAACCTATACTACCCTCTCAGCCCCTTCCCTCCTTTCTGATTTTTTGTAGTTTTATCATTATTTTTAGTTCCTTTGTTACCTTTACAATTTATATAACATACTAAAATATGTTTTTTTTTTGTTGGCTCCTCACTTTGTAAGGTATGACTGTTAGTTCTCTTATTCCTTCCTTTCCCATTTTTAGCTCACTTCTAGCTCTCACTTTGTGTCAAGGCTGAAAACATACCTCCTTATCATAATTAGATCTTCCATGCTATATAGGTTGAGTGTAGAAGTTGAAAAACGGTATTGTGAACAGTCTTCCTCTACCCTCTCTGTCCTTTAATCCCTTATATAGGTCCCCTCCCTTCACGTAGCGGTTATTAGTCTCTTGTGTAATCTTCTGGGTATTTTAATGCAAATATGTTTATGTATGTGTATATATATATTCTTTATTAAGCCTTTCCTTATGAAATGAGTATGGCATAGAATATGTATTTCTTTTTTGGATACTGCCAAACATCCTGTATACCTGATTCACATCTCTATCAGCAGTGTATGACAGTTCCCATTGTTCCTCATTCTCACCAACACTTGGTATTATCAGGGTTTGATTTTTGCCAGTCTGGTAGGAACAACATTGATGAGCGTTTTTATCATAAAAGGGTGTAGGATTTTGTTAAATGTTTTTTCTGCGTCTATTAAGATGGTCATGTGGTTTTTGTCTTTCCTTTTGTTAGTGTGGTGTATCACATTGATTGATTTGTGAATATTGAATTATCCTTGCATCCCTGGAATAAATTCTACTTGATCATGTTGTATGATCCGTTTTAAATAGATTATTGGATTTGGTTTGCTAGTATTTTGTTGAGGATGTTTGCATTTATATTCATCAGTGATAATTGGCCTGTAATTTTTTTGTTTGTAGTTTCTTTGTCTGGTTTTGGTATCAGGGTAATGGTGGTCTTACTGTAGAATGAATTTGGGAGTGTTTCATCCTCCAGGTTTTTGGAATAGTTTGAGAAGGATAGGTACTAGCTCCTCTTTATATGTTTGGTAGAATTTCTCTGTGAAGCCATCTAGTCCTGGAGTTTTGTTTGCTGGGTGTTTTTTGATTAATAGTTCAGTTTCACTACTGGTGGTCCAGCTGTTCAGATTATCTATTTCTTTCTCATTCAGTCTTGGAATGTTGTCTGTTTCTAGAAATGTATCCATTTCTTCTAGATTGCCCAATTTGTTGGCATATAACTGTTGGTAGTAGTCTCTTATGATTTTTTTGTATCTCTTATTTTGTTTATTTGGATCCTCTTTTTTTCTTGATGAGTTGACTGAAGACTTCAATTTTGTTTATCTTTTCAAAAAACTAGCTCTTGGGTTCATTGCTTTTTCTATCGCTTTATGTTTCTCTGTTTCATTTTTTTCCTTTCTGATCTTTATTGTTACCTTTGTTCTGCTGACTTTCGGCTTTGTCCTTTTTCTTCTAATTCTTTTAGGTGGTAGGTTACGTTGTTTGAGATTTTTCTCATTTCTCGAGGTAGGCCTCTGTTGCTCCAAACTTTTCTCTTAGAACTGCTTTTGCTGCATCCCATAGATTTTGGAAAGTTGTGTTTCCATTTTTATTTGTCTTGAGGTAGTTTCTGATTTTCTCTTGGATTTCTTCAGTGACCCATTGGTTTTTTAGTAGCATATGTTTAGTCTCCGCATGTTTGTATTTTCCCCATTTTTCTTCCTGTGATTGATTTCTGGTTTCACACCATTGTGGTGGGGAAAAAATGCTTGATATAATTTCTAGCCTCTTAAATTTGTTGAGACTTGTTTAGTTAACTGGCATGTGATCTGTCCTGGAGAACATTCTTTGTGCATTTGAAAAGAATGTGTATTCTGTTGTTTTAGGGTGGAATATCCTGTAGGTATCTTTTAAGTTAACTGGTCTAATATGTCATTTATGACCACAGTTTCCTTATTGACTTTGTATCTGGATGATCTGTCCATTGATGTAAGTGGGGTGTCAAAGTCCCCTACTACTATTGTATTACTCTCAATTTCTCCCTTTATGTCTGTTACTGTTTGCTTTATGTACTAGGTACTCCTGTATTAGGTGCATATGTTATTGAATGTTACATCCTATCTTTGTATTGATCCCTTTATCATTATATAATGCCCTTCTTGGTCTTTTGTTATAGACTTTGTTTTAAAGGCTGTTTTGTCTGAGAGGACTATTGCTACCCCAGCTTTCTTGTTATTTCCATTTGCATGAAATATCTTTTTCCATCCCCACACTTTCAGTCTGTGTATGCCTGCAGCTTTGAGGTGGGTCTCTTGTAAGCAGCATAATAGATAGGTATTGTTTTTTCATCCAGTCAGCCACCCTATGCTTATGATTGGAGCATTTAGTCCATTGACATTTAAGGTCATTATTGATAGGTACATACTTACTGCCATTTTGTTCATTGTTTTCTGGTTTTTATAGTTCTTTCCTGTTCTTCTGCTTTTAGTTTCTTCCCTTGTGCTTTGATGATTCTGTTTAGTGTTATGCTTGTGTTCCTTTCTCTCTAGTTTTTGTTTATCTGTTATAGGATTTTGATTTGTGGTTACCATGGGGTTCATATATGTTGACCTATATATAACTACATGTTTTAAACTGGTAGTCATTTAAGTTCAAACACATTCTAGAAGATGTACATTTTTTCACTCCATTCCCCTATGTTTTATGGTTTTGATGTCATATTTTACATCTTTATGTTTATTCCTTAACTGTTATTATAGTTATAGTTGATTTTACAATTTTTTATCCTTTTTTTTTTTTTTTTTTTTTTTTTTTGTGTGTGTGTGTGTGGCTGTGCTATGTGGCTTGTGGGATCTTAGTTCTCTGACCAGGGATTAAATACCTGGGCCCACGGCAGTGAAAGCGCTGAGCCCTAACCACTGGACCACCAGGGAATTCTCTGGTTTTTGTCTTTTAATCTTCATACTAGCTTATTTCAGAGGTTGATCCACAGCCTTTTAATATATATTTGCCTATACAATTGGGAGTTTTCCTTTCCTATAGATTCTTTCTTCCTGTTGTAGCCTTTTATTTTCCACGTAAAGAAGACTCTTTAACATTTCTGCTTTATTTATCTGGATATCTGTTTCCTTCTTCAGGATCAGGAAGTATTCAGCCATAATTTCATCAAATACAGTTTTGATCCCTCTCTCTCTCTCTCTCTTCTTCTGGGACCCATATAGTTTGAATGTTGGTATGCTTGATGTTGTCCCAGAGGTCCCTTATACTATATTCATTTTTTAATGTTTTTCTTTTTGCTGTTCTGATTGGGTGATTTCCGTTATTCTATCTTCAGATCATTTTTGCATTCTTCTGTATCACGTAGTCTTCTGTTAATTCCTTCTGGGGTGTTTTTCATTTCAGTTCTGACTAGTTCTTTCGTATACTTTCTAGTTCCTTGTAAAAATTTTCACTGTTCATCTGTTCTTTTCCCTAGTTCAGTTAGCACTCATGTTTACTAATGCTTTGAACTTTTTATCTGGTAAATTACTTATTTCTGTTTCATTAGTTGTTTTTTCAGGGTTTTTTCCTTGTTCTTTAATTTTAAAGAAATTCCTTTGTCTTCTCATTTTGCTTAACTTTCTCTGTCTCTGTGAAATTAGGTGAAACAGTTACCCATCCTGGTCTTGAAGGGGTGTGCTTGTGTGGGAGCATCACTGTATATAGTCTGTGTGTGCTCAGTGGCTTTGATGGGAGAGCTGGATCTGAAGTGAATACAAGTCACATCTTACCCCGGAGTGTGCTGGCAGCTATCACCTTGGTAGAAGGTGGGGCTGGACATGGAGGGGCTGGAGCCAGAGGCAGGTGCGAGCTGGGTCTTCTCCACTCCTCAGTTGCCAACACTGCCCTATCAGGAGTGGTGTCAGGTCCCAAATTGCTGGAGCGGAAACCCTGAGAGTAGGGTCTGAGTTGGTTCTGTTCAATTTGAGTGTGTGCTCTTCCCCCCTCCCCACATCAGCACCTTTGCTCTGAGGGGAGCAGTGCTGGAACCAGAGGGTCTGGATTGGGCACCCAGTGGAGGCTGGTGCCTGCACTTGGATGGTCCCGGCACCAGTCAGAGCTACAGACTGCTTGTGATGTGCTGCCCCTGTGAATGCTAGTAATGGGTGCTCTTTCCCTGTTTGGGTGCTGTGCCAAGTTTGAGCCTACTCTGTCCTCCACAGTTGTGCACCTTCCTCTGCAGTGGCAGCCTTTGCCCTAGTGGGGAACGGCTGTGGAGCAAGAGGGGCCAGAGTGGGCATTTGGCGTGGACTGGGGTACGTGCTGGGGTGGTCCCAGCACCAGTCAGAACTCCAGACCACTCCTGATTTGCTGCCCTGTGACCACCAGTCATGGGTTCCCTTGCTCTATTCAGA